TCGGTGATTATTTTGATAATCTTTCCGTAATTTTCTAATTTTCCTTTACCTTGCCAAGTCTGCCCTATAATCTTTTTGCCTAAATATCTTCCGACTTCCGGTAATAATTCTTTTCAATTTTCTCTTTCTCGCCACGAATTAGCAAGCAATACTTCTCATTCATTTCCTTCTTCTACTAATCTAATTACCTCGGCCGGGGCCAACAATTTAAAAAGTAATTTTTCCTTGTTCTCACTCCACTTAATTATTTCAATTCGTTCGGGATAAATAATTTGGGAAATACTTCTTAAACGTAAACCATCTTGACCTAAGCAAGTTCCTACGGCATTTAAATGTGGATTTCTACTTTCAATAACTATCTTAGTGATAAAACCAGGAAAACGCAAAATATCTCTAATAACAATAATTCCTTCTTTGATTTCGGGTATCTCTAATTCTAATACTTTCCTTAAGAATAATTCATTATTGCGAGTTAAAATAATTCGGTGTCCGGTTGATTCTTCCACCATTTTTTCCAGCAGAAAAGTTAATTTTTGTCCTAAACGCAGACTTCTTTCAATTAACGGTTGCTCAGATTTTTTTCAATAACCATGACCTTTACCTAAATCAAACAGATAGTAATCACGCTCAATACTTTGTAAATTACCTACCACTAATTGTCCCAATGAGGGCGAATAAGTTTCATGTTCTTTTTCCTTTTGAATTTTTTGTAAATCACGAAGAAAATGCTTTTTAATTTCTTGACTCGCAGCAAAAGAAAAATTTTTAGTATTAAGGGGCCAAAAAAGCACACCATTTTTGACCTCTCCTTCTTTAATTAGTTTACTCTTTTTGGTAATTTCTTTTTGGGGATTGGTAACACGGTTAACAATCTGATAACAACGATATACCAACAAATCGTGGTCAAACTCAAAGTGCAAAACGGCCTCTTCATTTCCGTTTCGGCAATAAGAGTCTCGAAAAGCAGCCGCCAGAATTTCTTGGATTTTTTCGGGCGAAATTCTTTCACGCCAGGCTAACTTTTGGATAAATTGGCGAATGCTGTTTTCGGTCAAATCTTTTATTATGTTATTAATATTAGTAATGATTTCCTAGGAAAATGTGAATCCTCAGAAAAGAAATTAACTATTAAAATAGAATATATTCTGGCAGGATTTCTTTAGCCAATTCCACTTGTCAAGAATATTAAATCCGAAAAGCAATTGGCGGACAGAAGTTAAACTGTTTTTCCAAAAAAAAAAAAAAAACATAACATTATGATTAACAATAGTACTAAAGGACAAGCGAGTCCTAGTGCCCATTTTTTTCACGTTACCTTCCATCGAGCGGATAGTAAGTGATACGCCCTGGAAGTTCATGGAGTGAGAAGAGCCTCTTTTAATACTGAAGAGGAAGCCACTGAACAAGTTAGAGATTGAGTTGACGAGTTAGGAGCCGAAGGCAATTCTCATCTTTATATTCATGACATTCACGGAAAAATTCGCAAAGAAGAAAATCTTTAAGCGAGGGCGTTCAAAAAAAAAGGGGTGTTTGGTAACTAAACCTAGCAACAGAATTAGTACTGAAGGTGAGGGAATCATGACAAGTTCCCTTACTGGATGTTTTGTTACATCAGACTAAAAATTAATCGGTTTGATAATTTTGATAAAAATAAAAAATAATTATTGTAACGCTAATGTATAACGATTATCTAATCCCTTTAGTAAAAAAAAGACATCGAGTTGGTCGTGGACCGGGTTCAGGCCACGGTAAGACTTGTAAACGAGGTCAAAAAGGTCAAAATTCGCGCAAAAGCCCTCATAATTATTGGGGGTTCGAGGGAGGTCAAACACGAGTTACGCTCCGTTTTCCCAAACGAGGTTTTGTGGGGAGAAAGTCCTTGAAATTGAAGAAAAAAGCCCAGAGGCTAGTTCGCTAAATTTTTGTTAAAGGTTCTGTGATTTTTTTTAATAGGTAGGATTTTTGTTAAAAAATAACCCAAGAAAATATTTTATTGATGAAGAAAAAAATAAATATTGCGATTGACGGGCCGGCCGCTTCCGGAAAAACGACCGTAGGTAAAGAGTTGATTCGTCGTTTGAATTATCAGTTTCTAGATAGTGGTTTGTTGTATCGTCATTTTGCTTACTTCTGGCAAGAATTTTGGAAAAAAAACGGTCACGGTCAGGATTACAAGAGCAAAATAAACGAGGAAGAAATAAGCAAATTAAGCCTTTTGTGACAAAAAAGTTTCCTCAATAATCACCAAGAATTTTTCCACCAA